GGGCGTGCGCCACCAGGCCCCACCGTTAGGCGCGCGCGCGCCCGCCAGAGGCAAGGGGCAAGGGAGGAAAGGGAGAGGAGAGGGGACTGACCGAGAACCAAAAAAACTTACATTGCCACGAACCTTGGCCTTGGAGGACAGGTGGGCGTGACTTGCGAGAAAGAGGACAGCAAAGAAGATGATGCCTATGGTGCTCATTCTGCTGGTTCCCGCATTATCCGTTTGACGTTGCGGCGCCAAGTGAATTAGGCGGAGGAGGGGAGGAAGGGGAAGGGCAGAGGGAAGAGGGGGCACGAGTGCGCGCACAAGCATCTGCAAGAGGCCCCCAGCACCTGCCACAGAGGAGCTGCGGCATGCGCTGGTGGCGAACTGCCACGTCAAAGCCGTCTGCATGCGCATGGACATGGCTTGCCAGAGGGCAGCCGGATTGCTGCCTGCATAATGCGCAAGCGACCGCATGATGCCCTGCGCCGCCTCTCCGGGCCGACCGCGCCCTTCGAGGACAAGGGGAGTGATCGGCAGCCCGATGTAACGAGACATCTTTCCTCCCCAGCGGCCGCCTCTCCGTCACGGCTCGCGGACGCATTCTGGCGGGCATCATCGTCGCTGTCGGCGTTTACGATGGTCACGTCTATTGCTACCAGCCGGCCGTCGTGATGCCATACCACGTCCAGCACGTCTGCCGCTGCCGGGCCTGCCTCATCGGTAACATCCCCCTCGTCGGCCCCGCCAGGCGCTGCTGCTGTCTGGGCAGCGGCCGTCGGCCCGCCTGCAACGCGTCGGAAGCACTCCAAACGTTGTTCCTTCTGGGCTGCTGGGTCACTGTTCTGCTTGATCCAATGCAAGAGAAAATCCCGCACCTCGTTGTGCGCGCACAATGCCGCCTCCTTTCTTGCAGGTCTTTAGGTGGTGTTCGCCCTACGCCTCGCGCAGCGCTCTTCCACACGCGCCGGCCTGAGTGCGGTGATGGCATTGCGCAGCGAGCGTCTGCGGCGCCATGGCGGCGCCCATCGTGGCAAGGAGGCGGCGGCGAACGGCGACGCGCCACGCCCCGTTGGGCATCGGACACACACCTGGAAGGGGAGCTAGGAGGTAGGCACCAGCGCAAGGCCCTCCTGCAGATCGGAGCTGCGCCTTCGCCTGGGTGTCCAGGGCGCCCAAGAGTGGTCTTTGCGGGTTGCGTGCGCGTGATCCATGATCGTCCCCTGCGGTGCTTTCGGTGGTCGCACGTTCAGAAGCAGCAGCGCGTGGTTCACAAGCGACGGCGCCTTTTCCTCTAGAGCTACCTTTGCCAGCTGTGCGTCGCGCTGCGTGGCCAGCAAAGCGCCCGAGACTGCGGGAGGCGCGAACACTTGAGATCTTTGCGCCCTGGCTGCAAGGTCGAGCCCCCAGCCCGCGAAGAAAGCAGCGTGAGCCCTTTCAGAAACGAAGCCCACGGACAAGCCACCCTCCTTCAGAGGTAGGGGCCCCTGCAAAACCCGCGTCGACGTGAGGCCCATGCCCAGGAAGCGCCCTCAGGCAGTCGTGACTGCGACGCCATGCGCCTGCAGAACCTCACGCGGCCACAGCTGCGCACGCAGCATATGTTGCGGGCAGCCCACGGCAGAGTAACGGAAGATTGCGGCCGCCATTTGCACAGACATCCCCCGGCCCACGAAATCATATAGCTGCTTCCCGAGATTCGTGACGCGGGCAGTCATGGCCCCGAACTTGAACGCAGACGCGCCGAACCCAACGTTCAAGGAGACGCCCCGGCCGCGCCAATATAGGGTGCACCCTAACATTAGGAGCTCCGGTGCCCGCCAAGCGTGCAGATCAGGGGGCAAAAGGCCCGCGGCCGCGTTGTCCGTGACCCACACTTTGGTCTTGTCGCCGTTGAACTGCAGACCGACAGTGGCCATGTGCTGCTCGAGGACGCATCGAGCCCTGCCCAGGGACTGCGCGGGCCAAGCCACGTAGAGGTCATCCGCATGCGCGACTACACGTACATGCAAGTCCTCACGCCGACACTGCGCCACAGCAGCCGCGATGGGATCAGCGATTGCCACGGCGGAGAAGAGCGCGCTGAGGGGGCGCCCTTGCGCCGAGCCGGCGCCCTGCTCAAGGGCCCCAGCGCCACCTGTCCTGATGGTCCGCATGTTGAGGGAAGGCGTGATCAACAGCCGATGGGCCAGGGAAGCACATCTTGGGGGCCGCGTCGCGCATGCCCGCTGTGCCGTTCGAGATGTCCACGCTGAGCACGCCGGTCGCCCCCCCTGCATCGACCATGGTCTGGGTGGTGTTAAATGCCGCATCAATGCCCCCGGTCTTGCCAACCGCGCACTGCGCATCGCCTGCCGCCTCTGGGGCGCCCCCCCGGACGCGCGCCAGCAGGGAGCGCAATGCAAGCCTCCGGAGGTAGGCTCCCGCGGCCAGCGGACGAACCCCGCTCCGACTTCTTAAGTAGCGCAAACAGATGCTGGATGCACATGCACTGATCCAGCTCTGGCGGCGTCTGCGCCTGTACCCAGCGGCGCAGAGCACGCGATGAGAGTTCCATTGCCTCTCTATCAGTCCGCATGAGATGCCAAAAGGAAGCTCTGCAACCATCTCGCCCTGGTGCGGAGCGGAGGTCCATGGCCCCCATCGTGCGGGACACCTGCTGGATGTAGTCCTGCTCGGCGTCCTCGTCAGCGAAGAGCGGCGCGGTGGCCTCCGCGGGGCCTGGCGAGCAGCGCGCCTTGCGCTCGATGAGGAGCCCCTGGAGGTCGGGCAGCTTGGCCCGGTATGTGATGAGGGAGGTTCGGTTGCACAAGAGGCTCAAGACTCGTGTCATGTCATCGTCGGCTACCAGTTCCTCGATGCGTTGCAGCGAGATTGCACGCTGGTCATTGCGCAGGTCATCACCTCCTCCTCCTCCTCCTCCTCCCCTCCTCCTCCTCCTCCTCCTCCTCCTCCTCCTCCTCTGGCTTCTCGTGCTCCTTCCGCTGCTCCACCCCCTGGTCCACGTGGTCGGTGCCCTCGTGGTTGTCGCTGTAGGCGAGAACGCATTCGGCGGCCAGCCGCGGCGCGTTCACCGCGCCATCCGCCTCGTCCGCCATCTCGAAGTCGCGGTCTGCAGGCCTGTCCGCCCGCCCCTGGAAGACGCCGACTGCGGCGCTCGCGGTGTCCGGGTCGGCAACGCCTTGCACTGCGTCCCCCGGCGTGATGTCGCCCACCCCGCACTCCCAATGGATGAACCTGCGTCGCGCCCGGTAGTCAGCGCGGGTTGCGAGTCGACGCTGCCCGGGGGTGATCTTCTCGCGGCATCGCTGGCAGGTGGCTTTCGCCGGGGCCCCCGCGGCGCTGAGCACCCGCTCCGGTCCTGGGTGAGATGCCTCTCCGACGCGTACTCCGCGATGCCACGCTGCCGTCCTTCTGCTCCGCGGGGCCCTTGGGGGGGCCTCCAGCAGCGCCACTGGCGCACCTGCACGATCGTCTTGAAGCCAAGAAAGGGGGTCCCAGACAACTTCGCCCGCTGCAGTGTGCCAGGCAACTGCATGCGTGAGTCGCACGGCTGCATGTGCCCGGGCTGCGACGGCCCGGCTCGTCGAAGTGGATCGCGGCCTGGCCGACGGTGACGGGCGCGCAGCAGTGGGGCTCGTCCAGCTGCGCGTGCCGCCTTCGAGGATCACCACGATGCCTGCGAAGAGAGAAGGGAACCCGCGGCGGGTGCATAATCGAAAAATGAATTCTGGATTGAACGGCCGGCGCGGGGAGGCTGGAAACACGGGGCTTGGCTGCCGGCGTCGACGGGGCGACGGACGGCAGTCACGGGGAGCTCCTCCTCCTCCTCCTCCTCCTCTATTTCAATGGGCTGCTCCCCTATTTCAGCGGGCCTTGCTCCTACGGGGCCCCATGGCGCCCCAGTCAGCGCCCCAGGCCGCCGGGTTCGTCAGATTCAAAAGGCGCATCATGCCAAACACCCCTGGAGGAACATTGCTGGGCCTGCAAAGGCCACCCTCATGTCCCTCAAGGAACTTGGATGGGCAACCGTCAGCAGCACCACTTGGAGGACTGATCGTGGGGCGGTTCTAAATCTTAAGGGGGATGCGCCGTCCACTATCAAACAACTTGCTCGGGAAGCTGGTGTCCGACGACTATGGGAACGGTGGGCCCGAAGGGTTCCGCTACCTGGCAATGCGCAGGCACCGCGAGAACCCGCAGGTTACTGGATGGAGCCCGCGCTTCGTATGCTTAGTCAAGTCGAGATCCCCGGCTCACCTCCATCCGACTCCTCCGACTGTGGCGATGACGACGACGGCAGTCGCACTTCCCCTGGTGGTGTTACTGGAGAACCGTTGAATCAGATCGAACCTCTTCGGACATCTTGGGCTCCCAACCACGGGGAGGCAGGGCTCCTTCGAGCGCTGCTAGGCGGCGGCATCTGGACGCCCGCTCGCCTCGCTGCCGGCGGCTACCGAGACAACGGCGCCGGCTCTAAGTGCGGGCACCAGCCGTGCTACCTATACCACATGCTGCGGGACTGCCCGCATCTTGCCAGAACGCGGGGCCTGCGCATGAATGCTATATGCGTGGACAATTTCCCGACAAAAGCTTCTGACTCTACGTTATGGTCCCACTGTCTTGTCGGTCGTTCGTGCTTCCCACCTCTCAAGGTTCGCGACAGCACTGGGCGGTGGCACGTGCGATATGGGGACCCGCACGGGATCGCAGGTGATGTTTACACCGAAAGAGCCTGTCAGAGGATGTGGCACTGGCCTGAGGCGTCGCGAGCAGGATGGGGTTTCTGCCAGCTGCGTGAGCCCATGAGGCGGGGGGTAGACATTCTCGTTGTTGGTGCTCTCCCAGGCCCTATACAATCCTCGCCCAGGGCCAAGCTACGCGCCTTCCTGCAGGTCCTTCAGGTGTGCATTCCTCCGATATGTGTGCACACCAACTTCAATGGCCTTGTTGATGGCCTGGCCCTGGGTGCCCGATGGCGTTGCGCCCCGAGGCGCCTAAATGTTGATTTGTGGGATCGCATATGGGCGAAGCTACAGGACCTAGGCGAGGTAGGGACCGATGTGAGTTACCCTGGTCCGAGGCCACCAACGAGGGCAGCACGCCGATGCCGTCGGGGATCGGTGGGCTGACCTCGCTTCCAGGAATGGCCGAGATCTTCAAGCCATTCCTAGGATTGATGTCGAGGCCATGAGGCTCGGCCACAAGAATGACGCGCGTCTCCTCAGGTGTGGCGCCACGGCCCTGGTCCAGTTTTTCGACGGCCAGCGCGTCGACACCAGGCCCCGTGTGAGGTCTCGTGGCGTTCGATTTCGTCGCCGGCCGCCGCCGAGCGAACCCGCGGAAACTTCGGCCCACCTTCGACATGTTGTTGCCCAGGTTTCGGGACGTAGTCGGAGGTTGGGGGGTGAGATCGCAGTGTAACGGAGCCCCCCCGCCGGGAAATCGAGCTTCGAGTTCGCGCTCGCGCCGCGCTCGCGGGCGAGGCGAAGCTGCGTGGGCCAGCGAGAGGAATTCCCTCTGCTGTCGCTAGGGGTCCACCAACACAGATATTTCTTCCCCGGCCTTGTCAAGCGGTAGCCCACGTTGTCCCGTCGGTTGCCCGCCGATTGCTCATCATGGTTGCTCATCACGGTTGCTCATCATGGCCGCTCATCATTGTCCCGCCGGTTGCTCCTCATGGTTGCTCATCAGTGTCCCGCCGGTTGCTCATCATGGTTGCTAATCGTGGTTGCTCATCATGGCTGCTCATCATTGTCCCGCCGGTTGTTCATCACGGTTGCACATCGTTGTCCCGCCGGTTGCTCGTCATGGTTGCTCATCATGGTTGCTCATCATTGTCCCGCCGGTTGCTCGTCATGGTTGCTCATCATTGTCCCGCCGTTTGCCCATCATGGTTGCCCATCATGGTTGCTCATCATGGTTGCTCATCGTTGTCCCGCCGGTTGCTTATCATGGTTGCTCATCATGGGACACCATCATGGTTGCTCATCATGGGACACCTCCCCTTGCTTCTCCTCCCCGCATCCTTCCTCTTTTTGTTGTTCGAACCTAAATGAGCGATCTTTAGTTCGGCTCAAGGGCTCAGGCCATGCGACGCAAGTCGGCCAGCTCGTCGCCTTTTTGCTAGGACGAAGGCTCGATTGCCACCCATCGCCTCCCTCCTCCTCTCCTCCCTCCTCAGAGGGCGGCGGCCACTTTCATTTGGCATCGCGGGCCGGGGGGGGCCGTTCTTGGACCGCTTAGTCGTCAGAGGACAAGTATATGCCGTCATTTATTGGCCACGCCGCCCTTCCAGTTCCCCTGATTGCGTGAATTCGAATGCATCAGCATCTCCCTATCGTCATCACTACCATCACCATCATCATCATGACCGCCTTCATCTTCATCCGCCTCGTCCTCCTCCTCCTCCTCCTCCTCCTTCTCCTCCTCCTCCGCCTCCTCCCTCCTTCTCCTGCCCCTCACTGTCCTCCTCCTCCGGCTCAGGGCGCCCGCTGCGGTCGCGCTACCCCCCCAGGGCGCCCTCCTCGCGCATTTCTGCGGTCGGGCTATCCACGAGATGGGGGGCCGCGTGGATGACATGAAGAAGGCGGAGCTCATGAAGTACGCCGCCAGTCTTGGAGCCCCCGCCAGGAAGCCGGCGGCGCCGACGCAGTGGCGCGCAGTCAAAGACGCGCGCGAGGATTGCAAGCTGCGGGAGGCCGCTCAGCGGCAGCCTTCCACGGCGCGCGCGAGCGAGCCAGGCGCTGCCAGCTCCGACCTGGCGGCGCCGTCAGTTTCGCACGGGTCCGCGTCGGTGCAGGCCCCGGCGCGCGTGGGCGAGCCAGGCGCTGCCAGCTCCGGCCTGCCCGCGCCGTCCGTTTCACGCGGGCCCGCGTCGGCGGGGGCACCAGGTGCGCGCGCGGGCGGGCCCGGCTCTTCCAGTTTGAGCCAGGCACAGGTAGCGCCGTCCGCCCCCGCCACGGCTGCGCGGGAACTGGTCGCGGGGGCGGCCGATGTCACCTCCAGCGACGTGCGGAACATGAACCGGAATGAGTTGCGTGCACTGGCGACCTCGTTGGGGGTCGGGACTCGGGAGAACACAAAGAGCTCGGAGGCGCTCCGGGCGGCGTGCTGTCGCGCCCTCCCGCAGGCCCCGCAGCGGCAGCACTCCCGGGCGGGCGCGAGTGAGCCAGGCGCTGCCAACTCCGACCTGGCGGCGCCAGAAGCTTCACGTGAGCCCGCGTCGGGGTCTCGCACTGCCAGCTCGAGCCAGGCGCAGGTTAAATCGCCCGTCTCCGCCGCCGCGACACAGAACCCGGTTGCGGGGGCGGCCCATGTCACCTCGACCGACGTGCAGAACATGGACAAGAAAGAGTTGCGTGCGCTGGCGGCCTCGTTGGGGGTCGCAGCTAGGGACACCCAACAGTCCACGAGGCTTCTCCGCTCGGCCTGTTGTCGCGCCCTCAAAGGGCAGGTAGGGATAGCTCCCTTTTTCCAGCCTGCCGTGGCTCCAGGTGCCCCGGGCCGAGAAGCAGG